CAATATTTGGATTCAAAGGAGAATGACCAATTTCTTCAAGAAACCATACTCTTGAAGAAATCAGTCTTGAATCTGACCTAGATATAAATGAGAGATGATTTGAATAGCTAGATGCAGATTCGGGTTTTCAAAAGCAGTTTTTCAAAAAGAAATCAATTGGAAAAACTCATAGATGAAAATATATGGTTCTCTCTTGAGGAAGAAGAGAAAGAAAGCAAAGCAATCTTTCCAAAACTTCCACGCAAAAGAGACAACACCAAATGACCAAAAACGAAGCCTTTACAGCCAAAAAATTCGTTAGGTCAGAAAAAACAGATGGCAGCAGAGAGAGAGAAAGAGGAATAGAACAAAACAGTTTGTTATCTAGCTGGAAATCCAACAGAGCAAGGATGACTAGTCATCTGAGAAACGGATGACTAGTCATCATTTTTATGAAGACTGTTTTATGAAATGATATGCAATGCACTATACCTTTGTCAACTTGCTTGAACCTCCATAGAGCAGAAGTTAGAGAAGAGCACCAAGAAAGGTTTTCCTTAATCTAAACTTGAGCTTGATAAATAACAAAACACATCCTATTAGAAAGTTGTCAAGGGAAGCCAAAAGAAAATAGTAAAAACCATACATTAACAAATCCTGCATTATATATAGCTTCATGTCAATCAAATATTTCAAAATAGGCATTAGCTATAGATAAACCATCCTGATTCAATGAATACCTTATTCAAATGTGCCATGAAATTAGTACTTTGTAGCATGCTTGCAAAGGACAAATTAGGTTTATATAATGTCCTTCTAGGTTCATAAATGAAAACACAAACTTGATTTTTAAACTAACAAATTGCATTACTTTGTTAGATTGAGGCAAATTTGCATGACCTTCGGTAGGTAACAATCTCATAGTAAGGTAGACGTATATAATAGTGGTAAGATTATACAATTAGTTGAATTTATAGTAGAAAAAAGAGAGTACTAATTTATAGTAGAAAAAAGAGAGGACATACATGAGTACTAATATTTGTACTCATTGGTACACTGAATGGAATAAGAAAATTTGAACTGAGTGGTGTATGAGCTGAGCTATAT